TTAAAACAGCATATAACTCAGCCTCCAGGTCCTTCAAACGGGAAATCACTAAGGCAAAGTCAGAGCACATTGCCAGATTTGGCGAGAGATTGGCCCAGCTCCCTTCAGGGACTCGAGCCTTCTGGTCTCTCGCCAAAGCTGTCCAAGGGAATTTTTGTCAGCCCGCCATTCCGCCACTGCACAGGGAGGATGACTCTCTGGCCCACACTGCGAAGGAGAAGGCCGACCTTTTGGGCTGTCTCTTCGCGTCCAACTCGACTTTGGATGACCGAGGAAGATCACCACCGACCATTTCGCGGTGTGATTCTTCGATGCCGGAAATCATATTCCGGCAACGTGCTGTCCGCAAAGCACTATCTTCCTTGGACATTCATTAGTCGAGCGGGCCGGATGGTATCCCCCAATTGTGCTGCGTACTTGTGCTCCTGAGTTGGCTCCGGTCTTAACGCGCCTTTTCCGGTACCTGTACTCGCTCGGCACTGTCCCGAAGTGCTGGAAGACCGCTTCGATACATCCGATCCCTAAAAAAGGCGATCGCTCTGATCCGTCCAACTATCGCCCAATAGCTATAACCTCCTTGTTCTCCAAAATAATGGAAACCATTATTAATTGCCAGCTCTTGTGGTATCTAGAGAGCCACCAGTTGATTAGCGATTCTCAGTACGGCTTTCGTCGTGGTCGCTCAGCTGGTGACCTCCTTGTATACCTTACCCATAGGTGGGCAGAGGCAATTGAGTCCAAGGGGGAGGCGCTGGCGGTAAGTTTGGACATAGCGAAAGCCTTCGATCGGGTGTGGCACAGAGCACTGCTCTCGAAGCTTCCAGCCTATGGGCTTCCCGAGAAATTATGCGATTGGATCTCCAGCTTTCTGGCCGATCGGAGCATCAAGGTCGTCATCGACGGAGCATGTTCCGACCTTAAACCTGTGAACGCTGGGGTCCCACAAGGCTGTGTTCTATCCCCGACCCTATTTCTTCTGCATATCAATGATATGTTGCAACTTAGCAACATTCATTGCTATGCGGATGACAGCACTGGGGATACTTTTTACACTGGCTGGGCAGGTATTTCTCGGGCAGTTGTTGATGAGTACCGGAACAAACTTGTGTCTGAAGTCGAAACTCTACTACGTGGAGTCTCAGACCGGGGCAGACAAAACCTAGTCCAATTTAACCCCAAGAAGACACAAGTTTGCGCGTTTTCCGCTAAAAAACACCCTTTGTCGCTACTCCTCTTTTCGAAAACACTCTTCTTAAAGCCACAGCCAGCATTGGCATACTTGGCGTTGACATATCGAACGACGTTCAGTTTCGCGGTCACTTGGAGGGAAAGGCTAAATTAGCCTCCAAAAAGCTTGGTGTGCTCAGCAAGGCGAGGCGGTACTTCACTCCGGGCCACCGCATGCAACTATATAAAGCGCAAATTCGGCCCCACATGGAGTACTGCTCTCACCTCTGGGCGGGGGCTCCCCAGTACCAGCTCCTTCCACTTGACCGTATACAACGCAGAGCGGTTCGAATCGTCGACGACCAATCCCTCTCCGAGCGGCTTGATCCTTTGGCGTTGCGTAGAGATGTGGGGTCACTCTGCATCTTCTACCGCATTTACCATGGAGAGTGTTCAGAGGAGTTGTTCGGATTAATACCTGCAGCTGAGTTTCATCATCGGACGTCGAGACAGAATACGAAATTCCACCCGTATCACCTCGACGTCCGCCGTTCCACAACTGAGCGTTTTTCAAGGCAGTTTTTGCCGCGCACCACCACTATGTGGAATCAGCTGCCCACTGAAGTATTTCCGAACCAATTCGACTTAGGGTCCTTCAAGAAAAGAGCGTACCAATTCTTAAAAGGCCGGCAACGCACTCGCGAGCCCTCTGGCATTGAGAGTGTCCATGGGCGGCGGTGTCACTTAACATCAGGTGTGCCTCCTGCCCGTTTGCCCCCCGTTCTATAAAAATATAAAAAAAAATTAAAAAAGTGTTGGCCTAGTGGCTTTAGCGTGCGACTCTCATACCTGAGGTAGTAGGTTCGATTCCCGGCTGTGCACCGATGTACTTTATTTCAATGTGCGTATTTAACATTCGCTCGAACGGTGACGGAAAACATCGTGAGGAAACCGACGACATGTCTTAGACCCAAAAAGTCGACGGCGTGTGTCAGGCACTGAAGGTCGATCACCTACTTGCCTATTATATTGAAAAATAATCATGAGGCCTAGGCCTAAAGAGGTTGTAGCGCAACTGATTTACTTTATTTTTTATATATTAATTGCGACCACATTCCAGAAACACGTACAAGCACTTCTAGAAGATGAAGGTGCTGAAATAACAACTATGCTTCGTGACCGAGGAGGTCATTTCTACGTATGCGGAGACTGTAAAATGGCTGAAGAAGTTCAACAGAAACTCAAAGAGATCATCAGAACTCACGGAAAACTATCAGATACAGAAGTCGATGATTTCATGCTATTTTTAATGGTAAGGGTTGATTTAAATATGAAAGTGTTCAATTGCTTATTGTATCAGAGGTAAACATCTTTGTTAAACTTTACTGTATCGAAGAGACACTATATTTTATAGATAAGTTAAAATAAATTATTATCTTTATTATACAAAGCCTACAGGTCATCCAGCTTATAAATTAATCTGAAGTATACATATAGGCAAAATAGAAACCACTAGAAATATCTGCGAAGATTTATATCAGATACGGCAAGTCAACATACAGAAATTTTAAATTCAGAATTATTTTGAATTTTCTCCTATATACATTGTCAATCTACAAACTGGTTCCACTTCCTTTACAGATATAACATGAAAATTTGTTAACCAAAAATTATTTTCTTTAATCAAACTCGTGCAACCTCTAAGAACAAATAAATGTCTTTGGATATAAAAACCAAAGACACAATAAAAGACCGTTATTCTTCTTATTTTAATAAAATCGAACTGTTCTGCAGTTTTAGTTCATAGTTTAATTTAATATTTTCAGGAAGAAAATCGTTATCATGAAGACATCTTTGGTATAACATTACGAACGTCCGTCGTCCATACCGCATCACGGGAAACTGCCAAAAGATCGAGACTGGAATCGGGACAATCACAAACATAACTACCTAATATTTTATTGCTCTTAATTTAAATTCGCATAATTTGAGGCTCGGTGACGAAATGAAAGTTAAAAGTTGTATTCAGTATAGGTAGATAGTTTTGTTCGCTTTGAAATTACATATTTAAATTGTAAAGTGTGAGTTCAAACTTTTACTACAGTTAGAAAATTATTCAATTGAAACTAAAAAGTGACAGTGTTCATTGCTTTCTTAATCAAAATCACTTATGAACATCAAAAAAGAAATACATATTAAATGCTTCTAGTTTTACATTTACTGCCTGTTCAGAAATCAAGGGCGTAGAACGGAAGAGAAGAACTGGCAATAAACTTTTCGCCACTCTTTTATCGCCAAGTTTTTTTTTACACAATGTTTGTGATGACTTCTTAAGTAATTAATAGTTAATTAATAATAATAAAATAAATTAAAATCAAAGATTTGTCCTCCATCAGCAGGAGGCATGGTGAAATACTAGCACTCACTTACATTCTCGTATGCAAGTGATCTGCTTGCTTCATCAGGAATCGAACTAAAAATCTCCCTTACGCATTTTGCCTGATGTTGAAACTAGGATAGTTAATTTAATATTTAAGAAAGACACATATTAAGTGCTTAGTAATACGGCTTTTTATATTTAATACATTCTACACAGATTTATGAAGCTTTTAATAATAATCTGTATTGAATTGTATTGTTTTATTCATTCTCTCGAATAGTTTTTAAATGTTTACCGTCTCTCTCATAGCATAGAAGACAGTTTTTAACTTATCGAGGATTATAGCTAATGTATGAACATCGTATAAAAAATATATAATGACAATAATTAAAGCATGTTATGTTCTAAGTAACCAAAGCAAAAAGTATTACAATGATATATTTTTTATAATATTATATTTATAAAGAAAATGTCTTTTATTTATTAATCACGCCAAAATGTTTTTTTAAATGCCAGAGTCCTGAGTACAGTTTGAGATAGTCCAAAGGTAGGTATCATGATCTGACATTATAGTAATCATGTCAGATCATGACAGCTCAAACGCTTTCATAGAACGGAAATATTTATGCCTAATATTTTCGATGGTTTATGTTCAGTTTAGTTATAAATACATCCAATAGAGCTCTGCTCAAGTTTTAGGCTTAGGGTCCTTCAAGAAAAGTACCAATTCTTAAAAGGCCAGGAATGCACTCGCGATTCCTCTGGCATAGAGAGTGTCCATGGGCGGCAGTATCACTTAACAGGTGAGCCTCCTGCCCGTTTGCCCTGTTCTATAAAATTAAAAAAGTCCGTGCGTACAAAGTACACATGTCAGAAGTGAAACTTCTTTGACAAACTAATTTTTAAGTCTTGTTCATATTTATACAAATCTAAAAATTTCCGAGACTTAGAGGGAAGGAAAAAGGAAGATATGTTAGGAATTTCACTGTCGAAAATTAATACAAATAATAAATTTATTTTTTTAAATTTATTTCTTCGATAATAAAAACACGTGGCGTTTTAATTTACAATTCGTCATTTGAGATTTTACATAAAATATAAAATACTAATAATTCTCTTTACGAAATTTTAATTTTAAAAACATAATTCTATTAGGTAATTTCCCCTTCTCACTTCTTCTCAATCGCTCTGTCTCTTTTCTTCGACAAAAACGCTGCACATCTTCGTGACGTTCCGTAAAAATTTTACCCTCACGCGCCTAAAGAAGTTTCACTTCAAAAACTCCATTTCACGTATAGTTCACGCTAAGGGTTACTGTTATAGCACATTCGTGTAAACGTTGCGAATGAAACAACAATATTTTTTTAGTTTGTTATTTTTGACAGTAAATTTCGAATATCATACAAACATTCCTTTGATATGGAAATAAAAATTATGATAATAAAAGTTTAACTCAGCTCTTTCGCCTCACGACGTGGTCGTATATTTCAATGTGTGTGTATTTAGGCGAATATATTCGTTGCTTGCTTGTGTTCTGGCCGGGATCCTGTTGCGGGTCTGGGCATATTATTTTGTGATCATGACGGTTTTGGAATAGAAGGCCACGGTCTGGGTCCATAACGGGCTGGTAATGAAAAAGAAATACATTATGTTCCCTGAACTATTTGTCAAAAAAGCTAAATTGAATTAATTATCATAGTGTATTAAGTACCTACATACATTACATTAGAAAATATTTATCTACTTTAATTTAATCGAATTTTACTGCTATCCGTCTGTAATAAAAGTAATAAAAGTTAAATTAAGATTTCTCATCGTGTATAGAACAAATAAAAAGGTCTTCATTAAAGAATACCAACAAAGAATTTTTTGTAATTTCGTAATCACTGTACTGAATTAAAAACCCGAAAACAATTGATGTAAGATGAAACACACAGTATTTTTTTTAAACAAACTAAACTAGAACTTCGTAACAAGTTCAATTTAAATTCCCAATCTAATTTGAATCGGATATGCATTGGAGTGACGGAAACTATGCAAGAATTCCATTGGAAACTTCACCGCTCCATCGGCATTCGACTTGGCCGCAAAAACCGACCAATCATTTGGCAATCAAAATCAAGCTATACTTCTCTTCATATACTAGTGTGTAAAATACCACTTTACTGAAAATTATTGTTATTACCTACTTTTTAAATTTGTTTTGATTTTCATTTTTTTTTTTTTATGATTGGACAATTCACACCAATTGACCTAGTCCCATGCTAAGCTGGTGAAGCTTGTGTTATGGGTACTAGGCAACGGATATACATACATATTATAGATAGATAGACATATAAATACATTTAAACACCCAAGACCTAAGCACAACACCAAATGCTCATCACATCGATGTTTGTCTCAGCCGGGGATCGAACCCGGGACCCATGGATTCGCAGTCAGGGGTACTAACCACTAGACCAATGAGCCGTCTACTACTAACTTTACTATTGATAATTTACTTTCTATTAGTTATTTGAATAAGGAAATTCGTTCCACTGTTAATGGCAGTTTCTGCCACACAACCCATATGTGGAACCAACGGCCCACTGAAGTATGTCCGAACAAATTAGACTAAAAGTCCTTCAAGAACAGAGCGTACCAATTCTTAATATCCGGCAACGTACTCGAGAGCTCTCTGGCATTGAGTGCCCATGGGCTCTGGTATTACTTAACATTAGGTGAGCCTCCGGCCCGTTTGCCTCCTGTTCTATAAAAAAAGGAACAGTAAATGTAAATTGAGATACAATATTTTTTCTGTTAATACCTAAATGGGGCAAACCCCTAACCCGTAAACGTACTACCAACATTGTTAGGTCTCTATTATAGATATTTCGCTACGGTGATCTAATTATTCGCCTTAGGTTCACCGCTAAATTCTATTACAAGGAACTGAAAATTTATTAATTTATTTTTAATTTACAGTTTTTGTTACTACCTTGACAGACATATGACATAACATGGGGAAATGGGAAACTTCTCTTTTAAATGAATAAAACCGAATCAATAGATTTTATTTGAGCTTAAATATGTTTGTTCATAAAATACTTCATTCAAACGTCGGCAATAATTTCCAATCAAAAGTAATATGAGTAATATCGATCTCCTGAACTCTAATAAGCTGTCAATAACATCGAAGCAATACATCCCATTATAATGCGAGTTGAAGCTTGTGGCTTGTGAAAGACAAGATACCTACATATTCATTTATATTAGATTCCTTTTGTATTTAAATTCATACTATAAAACGATGACAACATTTAAACAGTCGAGTCTAGTTGAGTCTATTAGATGTTTAAAGAACTTTATTTCTCAATACAAAAAATGATCATTTTTACACGAGAATCTTAATATCACGATTATATTAAGACGCATCCCATCAGACATCTCATTTTAGGCTCATTCTGTATCTTTAACACGCTAATATTTCTTATTTTAGAGGGTTATTTATTTAATACTTGCCCTCCCTCATAGTTAATAGACCTCTTCAAACAATTTGTACGCGGCTTAAAAATTTATAAGTAAACTAGCTGACCCGGCAAACGTTTGTTTTGCCATGTATATTATTTCTAGGAAACATTTTTTTAGTTCAATAAAAAATAACTATCTACAATAATAATAATAAATAGGGGTTGATCGTATAGGGGTGCAAATTAGGGGTTGTTTGTATTTTTATATGCTGTATCATAAAAAAATAATTTTTTTTTTTTTGTTCTGGACAGCCCTTACCACTTAGGAGTTTGAAAGATAGATAGTAGCCGATTCTCAGACTTACTGAATATGCTTAAAAATTCATAAGAATCGGTCGAGCTGTTTCGGAGGAGTGTGGAAACGAACATTGTGACACGAGAATTTTATATATCAGATTGTTAAATTTTGTTCCGACAAAATAAACACACAACCTGACATTTATAGTAATTTGAATTTGTTTTATTTAATTAATAATACATGCTACTCCGATGTATTTACCATCTCTATAAGGTAGAACTTAAAATTCCTAATGTTCAGTATATCCGAAATTTTAAAAATAAGTTTGTTTGCCCAATTGGTTTGGTTCAACATATTTTTTCGTCTGTTTTGATAATATGTGAAACAAGTAGCATTCTGTATCTATCAATCTACATATAAATTAAGTTTCAAGACTACACCTCGCCCTGTTTGCTATGAAAAATAATCAGTGGCCTACAACCTTTTTAGGTCTGGGCCTCAAATTTCTGTATCGGTTTCATGATCATTTGCCAATCTAATAGGCAAGTAGGTAATCAGGTGATCACCTACTGAGATTGACACACGCCGTCGTCTTTTTGGGTTTAAGGCAAGCCGGTTTCCTCACCATGCTTTTCTTCACCGTTCGAGCGAATGTTAAATGCGCACATAGAAAGCACATTGGTGCATAGCCGGGGATCAAACCTACGACCTCAGGAATGAGAGTCGCACGCTGAAGGCACTAAACCAACACGGTTCCTTTATGCTATGTGTTAACAAAAAACTATATGATAATATTATGTAACTCTATTAGACGCATTCAGGCATACAACTGCTTAGGTAACCGCAATATAACCAGTGCTTCGATCATTAAACTAATTAATTAAGCTTTGCAAAGCTATTGTCTACATACAAGTTACTCTGACTCTAAGCAATCAGTGGAATATGACTTTTTCATAAAAAGTAATGACACTCAAAAACAATAAACAAGTGACAAAAGTCCCACTTTATAATTTAGTACGACACGAGAGCATTCATCTTTTGATAGGGAAACTTATTTAATAACGTGTAAAGCGAGAAAAAACGATACATTCGGCACCTGGAGGGATTTGCATTTTATCGCTTTACTGAAATACTTTCGCATTTGCAAAGGGAATATTGTATGAGATGCGATAGAGACCCGTAGTTTCGGAAATGTTGAATCAAAAATTGCTTGTTCGGACTAGCCCCTGCGTCGTACTGACACGGAAATACTTTCGTATAACTTAGTTGTCACGAATGTTGTACTACACATTCATTTATTTATATTGAACGTATATATTACTAAAATATTTATTTTGATGGCTACGTCAGAAAGCGACATTGTCCGCCCTTACTTCATGTGCCCACAGCTTCTGAAAAGGGCACAATTGATTCGGTGTATTAATTTAGTTAACGAATTACATAGGTTAACGCACCTTTTTCATTGTCCGTTGAGTGAACTGGCAGTAGTTCTATTATTTGTTAATGCCTATAGTAGTTAGTTAAGTTTTTGTATTTTTTATTATGTAATTTTGTTTTTCCTAATTAATTTTGTATGTTGGCTTTTATGTTTCGTCTGTAAATTTTATTCACTTATCGTTCACTCTTTTCAATTTAGGGTCGCTTGTTAGGTCAGGAGTGTTTTTAAAAATAAAGAAAAGAAAAGAAAAGAAAAGAAAAGAAAAGAAAAGAAAAGAAAAGAAAAGAAAAGAAAAGAAAAGAAAAGAAAAGAAAAGAAAAGAAAAGAAAAGAAAAGAAAAGAAAAGAAAAGAAAAGAAAAGAAAAGAAAAGAAAAGAAAAGAAAAGAATATAAAAGAAACTTAAAGAAAATAAAAGAAAATAAAAGAAACTAAAAGAAAATAGAAAATAATAGAAAATAAAATAAAAGAAAATAAATTCTAACTATATTTTTTGAAGATTTTTCTTGCATTTTGGTATCTGCACACGCAAACATCTCCTGATGTTCACTTATATGCCACCTATGGACTGATTGCCTCTGAGTAAGTAAACTAGACTTTTAAAATTTTGTAAAAAAAGCGTTTTTCTCGACTCAAACCTGTCCTAATTTCTTGATGTCCTAAGTCCAACTGTTTTGGAGTTTACTAGAGTATAGTCAATAAAACAATTTTCTATTATATAGTAGAAAGTTTGCGCTTAAACCAACTTTCAACGTACGTTCAAATACAGCTTTACACGAAGGTTAATATGGTGAAACTTATAAGCTCTATAAACTTTTGTTAAAGCCATTAAATTTGTAGGGTTTAGTCTAAATACGCGTAGTTATAGACCCCTAAATTAAAAGTTTCAAACTTTATAAAATAATCCCTCCTAGCAAAAATTATTACTTACTTTGGTTAAATATGCTAGAACATTACAATCTATGAACAGGCAGCAAATATATTTATACAACCTTTTTAGCCAATTGCAAAACCAAGCCGATTTAGTGTTTTACTAAATCATAAAAACTCGTGCTTCATAATAGTTTGATAGCTAAAACTTTTATGACATTTTAGAAATCTGATATTCCATCAATTAGAGAAATCACATACACTGTGTCAAGTTATTTGCGTACAAAGAATGCAGCTTAAATTTACGTAAAGTTGATGCGGGTCGCTATTACTGAATTATGTATCTAAGTGAGTGTCCGTGAGGAGTGCTAAGCATAATTAGGTATAATAAACTCGCATGAATACTACCTACAGTGTATGTCACTTAATAAGTTACAAACGGATGTAAGGCAGTCCTGTGGTACTTTTACGATTGTTTTATTTATAAAAAGGTTAGTAATGGGTAAGCCAAGAATAGAGATATAAGCCAAGAATAGAGAGACGTGGCAACAATTGGGGGAGGTCTATGTCGACAGACCTGACCTGAGTGGTTGCTAATAAATTATTATTTTCGCTATGTAAATTAGATTTAAGAATAATACTGTTTAATAAGAATAGCATCTAAGTTAAAAAGGTCAGCGAATAAAGTTTTATTATTATTATTTAAGTAATGGAAAAGGCCAGCAACGCACTTGCGAGCCTTCTGCCAGTGTGTCTATGGGCGGCGTTATCATTTAACATCAGATGAGCGTAGCAAGTTTTCCCTGCTATACAAAAAAAAATCTGCTGTCAAAATATAACTCCAAATAATAGTTTTGCCGAGTATCTCAAAACCTCAGTTAGGCATAGCAATAATAATTTTTCCCCGACTGAGAGATTGTTTTAAATTAAGGTTTTTTGTTCCGAAATCTTTTCAGGTAAGTTAGTTACTCTAACTTACCTAGGCTTAAGAACGCTATCAGTAATTTTTTCACATCAATAATTTTCTTATTGCTAATATGAATTATAATACCTTATAATTCCTGCTGATATTACTTCGCACAGTGCCATGCCTCCAATGATAATAACCAAGATCACTGTCCCGGGGCAATAGCATTTTGTTTCCTTTAAAAAATGGCGCCCAATTTTCCACAATCAGCCGATGAGCGTAATCTATGTAGCCGGAAATTTCAAAACCGCCTCTAGTGAAGTGCCGAATGAAAATTATCGACTGCAAATAACAGTGTATGTGGTAAATTTAGGCAACAAATCTAAATAAAAAGCGATAGCAAATCGTGTTAAAACAGAGGTGTTATTCCGAAGCACACGAGTCACGACGGTAATACTATGGTGAGAGAGGCGTCTATTTCTTTTATAAACCCCTTTAAACTCGTTTGAGATCTTTTGATCACAAATAGAAATATACAACTGACTTTTTTCCTGTATTAGGATAAATTAATAAAATGGGTTTCTAAATGTAACAATTACCGAACGTTATATTTTTTAATATCGAGTAAACAAAATATGCGTAAATTGCATTTTTTACATGCACTTTAACAAAACAGAATATTTAAAAAATGTTACGTATAGAAAATTCTAGAAATCGTTACAGGTGACGATGACTTACCTGAAGAATACCAACTCTATTTGCCCTCTCCCTTACAGCCAGTTCTCTACTGAATGCATCACCTTCATCAGCACCCTCACTGACCAGTACATAAGGCTTCACAGTCGGGTAAACTATACCATGTATTACTTTCCGACGTTTGTAGAATTCTTTCTCTTGCAATGTGTCACCGTTTGCCCTGTGAAAGGAATATTGCAATCCGTCTAAAACAATTTCACAAAATGTTGGCTTTATTTAAATTTTGTTACTGAAATACTGACATTTTGTGGACTACAAAATGTCAGTATTTCAGTAACAATTGCGGATTTAGTATAAGTCAGAATAAAATATAATATTTTCATTAACTTATTTACTGTGGTGAAATTTTTAGATGTAGGAAGTCCCGTTGCTAATACAATATAATTTGATTGATAGCCATATAGATTACCCACTGGCGTATAATGTAAATTTATCAGTGAAACATGCAGGTAATCGGTGATTCATAAGTGGTGGTAGCTGTTGGTAGCTATCTATAGTTTTATGTGATATTCGCTGTCTAAAAGTTGTTCAAAAATATTTTAAATATTCTTATTGATTTTAAATTGTAAACAAACAATATTCTACGACTTTAATGCATTTGCAAAGCAATAAGCGTTCGATAGTATTTGTTTGTCGTGGCCAAAATGTAATGAAGTAGTCAACTAAATAAACGATTCCGTTTCTATTTCACAGCGCAAATCCCTGAACAAACATTAATATTTTACCTATAACCAAATGCTGCGATAGTTCGGGCCGAGGGTATACTTCTGAGATTCCGCAGGTCAGCAATTTCAATGAGTGAATCTAAATAATCCTCCCATGTTTCAAATTCCAACAGCCGCCGGTCGGCCTCCACGCTCGCTGGGTATTCGTTCTTTTTCTCCGCCATACTTATGCCACCCTGGTCCTATTTGTATATATATCTAAAAATCATGTTTCCTCAATATTGTAAATTTATCTTCAAATGTTAATATAGTTGTCATTTTTGGGATGTGTCAATTGTCATTAAATTTTTATGTTTCATTGTATTATATTACATTGTTTTTTTTTTATTTTCAACCAGTTTCACTTCTGGGCGTTGTAGCCATAATGAAAATATTGAAGGCAGTTAATTTTATCATTAGGTTATATATGAATAAATATTCTGGTGAATTCCCGGCATAAGAATTGCAGAAAAGTATAGTATTAAGAAATATTACCATTCATTTAAGGCGTAATTGTGAATTTCAGATTAAAACAGCCTTTTAAGAGGCTATAACAGAGGTAATGAAACACTTTGAATAGCCGTTAGAATAATCACTCAATAATGGTTTCCGGTGAACTTTTAACCACTTTTATTGTAAGTTTTAATTAAAATACTTCTCGATTATCCCCCTAATTCGCTTAATTAAGTACATTATTTTCTCCCATTTATGCTATCTTTTAAGGAACTTAAAACTTAACGAATCTTGGTTTATATTTTACTTAAAAAATCAAAATATATGTACTCAGCTCTAAGGATTAGTTTTATTGGAATCAGAGAAAATGTTTTTTTTTTAATGGCTCTGGCACGATTTGTGCATTAGCCAGCGTCAAGTATAGGATTTTTTATAATTCGTGCTTGTCTTTAGAAATTCGACCGTGTCCTCCATGTACGGTTTAGGCACTCGCCCGATACCGCACAACCCTCCCAAAGGTCGAGAACAAATTTAAATTAAATTAAAACTTGCCCTCGAACCGGGAATCGAACCCGGTACCCCTCACCTAGCTGCCACTTAATAAGACCGCTAGGCTATGAGGCCCCTAGAGAAAATGTTATCGTCATTTGTTTTATTTTTGTCTCTTAATTAACTGATCCTGTTAAAATTTTCTAAATGGCTTAATCGTTCATTTTGTCAACATTACGCGGGCGAAAATTCAGACACCAGCTTGTACTATATAAACATACATCAACGTTATTTTAATTACCTTTGGCCATAGTGACGTATTTTGTTTATAGTTTGATGTACTTTTGACTCTTGTAATTTTTAGGGCGTAGCTGTTAATACTAAGTTTTTTTTACAAATGTGTTTTATTAGTTAACAAGTATAATGCGTTACAATTGTTGGATCTGGGGACCCTTTTAATTAAAAAATACTTGTGTCAGCCCAACTCTTCTATAACGCTTTTCATGTGTAATTAATTCAAATATACTTCCATTGATTAATGAGGTTATCGCTTAGCCGAGTAAATTGACGACTGCTAGAACCAGAGATAGAACTAAGATAAGCTCTAAACTCGTAAACTAAGTTTTGACATCTCACAGACAAGTCGCTTTAAAGTGCATTAAAGGTAAATAGGTCTTAGATCTTAAATTTTATCTTTATATTTAAGAACTAAGACTGGCCTATAAAATAATAAAAGCCTTTGTATTTTTTTAAACATACTTAGATCTCGACAAAGGCCTCCTCCACATTTGCCTGCAACCAGTTTCATTTTCCCATATTTTGTATTGTCAGCCTTTTTTAATTTTTTAGGTACCGACTCATTATAGTTTTACTCCACTTCTCAGCTCCTGCGGTGTCCCATCCATCTCCACTTCTTCTTTCGAATACTCTTTGTAATGTCCTCTATCCATTTTTTAATATAAGCCTCTTCTCTGCATTATTGTTACACATTGGGACATTTTAATTTTGAGATACCGTACGAATTCGAATAGTGAAAAATAACGAAAAAGCGTTAGAGATGTCAAAATTGTATTGACGTATGAACTTTAGATGAAACTATCGAAAACTTCGTCCTAAAGCTACTAACGCATAGGTTTTAATACATTTAGAATACGAAGAATACTAGATCAATAGTTCGTCCATTTCCCATTACTCCCATGAAGCGTGACTCTTCCATACAATTAATAATTACTAATAATAACGTACGAATTTGAAAACGTAGCTTTACTCTATAGTTTTATTTATTATTTATCAATATTATATGTAAAAATGTATATATATATATATGATATAATCTTTTAAGTGCTTTTAAGAAGTTTTAGACTACAAAATCCTGATTACAAAATCGTGTTTGTCACCAAATCGGTCAACGAGCTAGCTATTCTTAGACAAAAAAAATCCACGAAGAAACCTTGAGTTTTTTTCTGATGTCGCGTCGGTTAAAATGGAACCCGCTACCTATTTCTACTTAGTTAGAAACACTAAAACCGATTGCGGATGTTATGCGGCCTATAGGTGCGGCTCGCTGGCGCATGTAAGTTAACCAAAAGTAACTTTTTCATAAATAAGTCGAAGCATTATATTTATAAAAATGAATCAATTTAATTAAACAGTCATAACTAGAGAACATGGCAAGAGGAACAGTGAAAGTGGAGCAATACACTACTTAATGCACTTTTTATTATTATTTTTTTTTCATGTATCCTTTATTATTATTTTTTTATTCCTGTTTAGTTTCTTTTTCTTAACAACTATATGTATGGTATGGTATGGTATGGTTTGTGGACTCGTTTTCCGCACTTAGACGCTCACTAGGTCCGTTGTACGTGAGCCCTGGCTAACTAAGCCAGCCTAACTCCTTCCAGAAGCACAGAAGCTTCCTGGGCACTTCGCAGGCTTCTCGGAGCGACCTCACTGTTCCGAGGATTTCTGTACGTTGTTTAGCCACAGCCTCGCACTCCAGGACTACGTGGGTGACTGTTTCCTCTGCGTTGAAACAGCCTCTGCACATGGGGCTGTCTGTCGCGCCTAGGACATAAAGGTGTTTATTAAGGAGGCAATGGCCCGTGATTGTCCCTATCATTATTTTGAGGTTATTTCTGGTTAGATTTAAAAGTTGTTTAGTCATTCTTGTGTTAGTCACTGGCAGAACCAATTTGGATTGCCTGCAGTCCACACTTGATGACCAACGTTGGTGCTGGAGTTCCTCAGATCTCTGGCGAATCCATGTTCGCACTTGCGAGAAGGGCAAGGGTAGGAGCGGATACGGGCCTGCCGGCAACATTTCCGAGCCTCTCCTCGCAAGCTCATCGGCTGCGTCATTGCCGAGAGATCTGCTGTGTCCCTTAATCCACTGTAGGGTGACCCTGTTCGTCAGGGCTAATGCCTCCAGTGCATTGTGGCACTCCAGCACCAGTTTGCTGTTTGTCGTGTCACCCCCTAACGCCATCAGCACAGACGCGCTGTCGGATACGAGCTTAATACAAAAGTTATTAACTCCCAACCGCTTTACGCCTCTGGCTGCTTCGGTTAGGGCAACACACTCGCATTGAAAAATCGAACTGTGTATGCCTAGGGGTAGGTGTGTTTTGATGTTGAGATCTTGAGAGAATATGCCAGCACCGGAGCCGCTCCCTGTCTTTGAGCCATCAGTGTATATGCGTAGCTCGTTCGCGGTCGATCGATCACATTCCTCTTCTCTCAGTTGTACATGGTATTTCTTGTTTAGCATGTGTTGATTAACAATCCTATCGCATGGCGCAGCTATTAGCGGTTGGTATTCTATTGCCCTGTTTAGGATCGCTGTGTGTGTGCTGTAATGATTTTTACCCCATAAATCCAGTACCATAAGCCTGATGGCCGCCAATGCTGCCTCCTGCTGTATGTGTATGTCAAGGGGTGCAACTTGGAGGGCTAGCTCCAATGCTGAAGTTGGCGTTGTTTTCATGCAACCACTGGCAGCGGACAAGGCAAGCCTTTGGAAGCGCCCAAGTTTAGTTATTACTGTTTGGAGTTCTGTCCTCGGCCACCAGACTAGGGCTCCATAAGCCAGCATTGCAATTGGCCTGATTACGGCAGTGTAGAGCCATAGCGTAATCTTAGGCGATAAGCCCCATTTGACGCCTAGCATCTTTTTACATTGATAAAAGGCAATCGTGGCCTTGTTTAGTTTATGTTCAAGGTGTTTGTTCCAAAGCAGTTTGCTGTCTAGAATCACACCTAGGTACTTGACGTTTTCTTTTAGTTTTAGTTCTGAGTTGAAGAGTTTTGGTAGCCTGTACGAGCCAAGAACCCTTCGGTTTGTGAACAAGACTAGTTCCGTTTTTGACGGGTTGACAGATAGCTCGTGCTGATTGCACCATCTCTCAATTACTCTGAAAGCCTTCCTCATGCGATCACATAAGGTGCTTTCAAAGTTCCCCGATGTTAGGATAGCTATATCATCCGCATACCCTACTGTGTAGAGATTGATAGCGTTTAGTTCTGTGATGAGCTCATTTACCACTAGATTCCACAAAAGTGGTGAAAGGACACCGCCCTGTGGGCAACCCCTGCTGACAACACCACGCGTGGTGGTGTTCACGGTGAACTGTATGGCTCGATGTTTCAGCATGTTATTTATCCACTCTGTAAGGGTCGATGGTACTCCACAAGTGACAAGTGCATTGGTAATGCTCGTGAAGTTCGTTTTGTCAAATGCACCTTCAATGTCAATGAATGCGCCGAGGGTTGACTGCTTTATTTTCAGTGAGTTGCCAATGCGGGATACTACGTTATGGAGTGATGATTCTGTTGATTTGCCTGAGCTGTAGGCATGCTGATTAGGATGGAGGAATTTAGCCAATGTTACCCGACTGCGTATCTCCAGGTCTCCCAGTCTCTCCAGTGTTTTGAGGAGAAATGATGTGAGACTGATGGGTCTGAAGGACTTTGCTTGGGTATAGTCCTCTCTTCCTGGTTTAGGTATAAAAATGATTTTTACTTCTCTCCATTTCAGAGGTATATAGCGGTGAGCTATGCTGGCTCGGAATAATGGCACCAGATAGTCCACTATAAGGCTCCCACCCCATCTTAGTAGGCCTGGGAATATCCCGTCCAAGCCCGCAGCTTTGAATGGAAGAAAAGAGTTGATCGCCCATGTTACCTTTTCTCTTGTGACTATTTTGTCAGCTACCTGCCAGTCGGAGTTGACGGTTGCTCTTTC